CCAAAGCCCGAGGGAACCAGGCAGCTCATGTGTGACTCACGGGTGGAAAAGAGACAGTGGTGCAAAAACAAGGTCCAGATGTGCTCTTGGGCTACAGAGTTGTAGGGACTCGCTTGTCAAGCAGGTGTGCAGCAAAAGAACACGTGCAGGGAGGGGATGAGGTTGGGACTTACATAATGTGGGGGCCAAGAGTATGTGAGGAAGATGGAGAGGAGAGGTATTTCCTGCATATGCACGTAGTGTGGCAGCAAAAGCCAGTAAAAGCACTGGCAACATCCCCACACCAGTGCTGACCCTGGGAAAACTCGGTGTTGGAGTCCCTTACTGGGATGGACAGACCACTGAACCCACTGAGTGACTGTGTCCTCCACCTCCTCTAGGGCACCTCATGCCAAGAGCCAAGCCACCACACTGTCACCTTGAAGCCTTTCCTGAGTCCCCAGGCAGATTTTCTGCAGGCACTTACCTATTACCAAAGTATTGGAGCACTTGATCCCCATCTTCTTTTCTGGAGGGCTGCCAGGATAAGTACCTGCACAAGCACTTGTGCTCTGCTTCCCCCAGGAAGAGAAGCTGCATAGCCATACTCCAGACACCCACTGGATAGCTCTGGTGGGACGCAGGGACTGACACCCCTCCCTGCAGTAAGTGATGGAGCTGAGGGGCCTTGTCAGGGAGCATTCCCTCTCCCAACAGCTCCCTCCTTAGTCACGCTTCCAGGAGCAATGGTTGCCTCTCATTAGGGCTGGAAAGGGAAAGTGCTTTGCTGTGCTCCAAATGCTTCAACACCTCTGAGCAGGCAGAAACCAGGAAGGAAACATGAGGACAGCCTGCTGACTGATTGTCATAGTAACCCTGGTTAAAGTCCCACCAGGAAAATGACTTCTCTGAAGCGCTTGACCCCACAAGGTGACAGGTGCTACCTGCACCCCTGGGAGCAAAATTGCTCTGGCAGAGAGGCCCTGGCACTATGCAGTAAAACACAGTGCAGAGCTCTCTCTTGACTTGCAGCTCAAGGTCCCTGGGCAATGTGCCTGTGAGGTGATGGTTAACCTTGGTGCCCATTTAAAAGCAGCACAGTGGTGTTAATGCCTGTCCTCAGTCCTGGCACATTCGTCTGTGCAGCTGTAGAAGTTCAGAAGACTTTTTAAGACTTGTAGCGGCTTTCACGCAGAAGACAGGAGATGCTACATTTATATTCTGCTACAAAAAATAATTTAGCCTGTGGGAAGGGGGATAACACCTGCTCTGGCATCAGTTATGACAACAAAATGAGTCAAACAGCATGTATTGCATTGTGGCACTTTTTTGCTTTCCTGCATGGGCAGGGTGGTGGCAGAGAAGTCTGGGACAGTAACGGAGCTTGGTGCAGGCAGACTGATTTATTCAGGGCACTTGGTGAGCCAGTGGCAGTGCCAGGACCAGAAGTGCTGTATCTCAGTCCTTTCCATTACACCATTAAAACAGACCAGCTCTAGCCTGGTTCCTCTGCTGAATGTTCTTACTACAATCAAAGCAGGAATTCTTTGTTTCAGTTTTCCTGTTTTTACTTGGCAAATACAGTGAAGGAAGATCTGCTAGACCTTGAGGTAACCAGATCTGCTCTGGCTGTGTGCTGGAGCTGGCAACAGCTGGGAAACACCACTGCTTTTCACATCGTCTGCCAGGTCCTTCATGAGAAAGAACTTTCACACCAGGGGCTGTGCTCAGGGGGTGGACAGCCTCGTGCCATGCTGGATAGGAACAGGCAGGCACAGGGGAAGGCAAGAGCAAGGAACTGGTAGACAGACCAAATGTCACCATGTGCTCTTCAAAGCAAACCCATAAAACTCATAGTATTGGGGCCAGTTTCATGACACTAGAGTAATGAAATTGCAAAGCTGGCAATAGTATAGCAGTACCACTGAGTATTAGAAATCCTCACTCTTAAAAATGCAGTTACTCTTCCATAAAGCCAGAAAACTTCAGACTCATTCTCCATATTGATTCCATTGGGCTTGAAGATGTCGGATGGAGGAGGTTCCTTCATTGAGGATAACCTGATAATGATGTGCTTAATCAGAAGATACCAGAAAAATGCCACCCTGACCATACCTCTGCGACCAAAACACTGTTAAGGGCAGAGAAAAGCAATTCTGCACACCCACAGGCAAGGGGGTGGGCAGAGAATCCCTCCATTACTGCTCTGTTGGCAAAAAGTACTGTGAGGCAAACCCCCCTCAGGGAACCAAATTAAACCTGGGAGCATGAATTCCTGCATGTTCACTGCACCATGTGCAAGATAATTCACCTGAAAACTGGCTCAGCCAAGTGCTGTGCCCAGAGCTGCCTTCTGCACCAGCGGGCTGATCCAGCCCCACATCTGCCAAGTGCTCTGGAGAGCTCTTCACTGTCAAGACACCACAGGAGAAGGCACTGGATGCTGCAGGAGACCTGTGTGCATGGCCGCTTTCTGCCTCCTAATAAGCTTCTGTCAGGGCAAAGGTATTATTTCACATCAGTGTTTTGAGGTGAAAACACAGGTCTGGTCCCTTCCTCAGAGAGCACCAGGGGAGAGGATAATAGGGCTGTATCAGTAGCATCCCTGTGGCCCTTCTAACACTGCTGAGAATGAATTAACTGTGTTTGGCTCCAGGCCAGGCCCTGGAGGTGGAGCTGGCTCTCTTACAAATTCTCATGCTATTTGTAGCATCTCTCCAATCCCGAGGACTCAGGCTGCTGGCTGAGAAACCTGCTGGTATTGGTTTGAGTTTATTTCTAAGACATTTCTCAGCATTGTGGTTGCACAAGAAGCTGAAAATTCGTGTTTCAAAACCCCAGCCAGAAGCGCAGGTGCTGTTGCTATATACTGCCATAGCACCATCACGTTCAGGGGGCTCTCCGAGCTAGAAAGGTAAATCTATCCTGGGTTTCTTAGGTCTTCAAGTTTCCAAAAAGCTGAGCAAGCCTCCTGTTTGTGGGTGCACTGGGTGGCACTGTTGCAGAGCTGGGTGCTGCCAAGTAGACCTCCCTGAAGAAGCCTCAGGCCTGTGAAGGTCCCACCCATGCACTGCCCTGGCCACTGGCAGAGGACTGGGCCAGTATCTCTCTGTGCAAGGCAGGACCTCGGTGGCCTTTCACACCGGTTGAGGCTGTTGTAGAGACCTTTATCACAGCTCCCTAATCTCCATTTGAGTGTTTAACACTTAAGTTTTTCCAACTGGTAGTGTTGATGTCTGTCTTTTTTTTTTCTCAAGGAAGGTGAGGAGCCCTGGGGGAAGCAGTTTGCCTGGGAGACACAGTAACCCCACAAGGAGACATTTGGGGTAGGGAAGCAGAAGGAAGGCCCTGACTTGAGGCAGAGGAGAGCTGCACTGGGGAATCTCCCATCCTGGTTTCAGGGCCATTGCTGTTTGTGAAAGCACTGCCATCACTGGCCTTTTCCCAACAACATTTCTACCAGTGGGCAGTTCCTCAGCTGCAGGTTCAAAGCCAGATGTGCAAGGAGTGCTTCTCAAATCCTAAAATTTACCCTAGAACCTATCGACTCCATCCCAGGTGTCAAAGCAACAGGTTATATACCAGACAATGCCAGTGTGCCACAAGTCAGTCACAGGCATCATGTGGCCAGAAACAGGAGTATTCATTAGCTTGGGCTCACTAGACAAAGGAGAGCAGCACCTTTGCTAACACTCCAGCATCCCCTCCTCATGCTCCACCCCATTTTCAGGTGCATTCCACACCAGAGCTCATAAAACCCTTGCATACCCTCATTAAACCAGCATTGCAATCTCAAGCCTCGCTTGAACCCCTTTGTGCAGTGCCATGGCCCTTCGCTCCTCCCCCATGGACCGCGGCAATAAGATCTTTGTCATTGCTGCTGGTGGACATTCCACATTGGAACTAAATCAGGAACCACAGGTGCCATGAGGTCTGCAACACATACTGGGACTTGCCACTGGTTTGAGACTTAAGTTTTGGTCAAGACACAAAGAACCTGAAGTGATCTGGAGAATCCAAACTCACTGTGATTGCTTGGGAAACCCCAGGAGGCCCCTTGCTGTGTTAAGCTGAACCAGAGCAAACATGATATGAAGAGGACCCCCTTCTTGGTTCCAAGTGCCATCACAGAGAACCTGCGGATTTCACTGAACTTCCTTTGTCTCCTCTGTCCTCTGGCTGTCAAATGGAATTGAGATTTCTTCTCTCTGTTACTCACCAGAAAAACAACAATCTACCCTCAATGAGTGTATTAATGCAACATTATGGTGTGAAACAAGGGTCTGGCTGCCTCAGGGAGCAGATTTCAGAACCAAGTTTTCACTGGACACTGAATGGCTGCTGGAAGCTCAAGATTGGAAAGGACCTGCTTGGAGGTCCTTGGCTTTACTCCTCTGCTTCAGAGTTCACATGATCATCTGTACCATACAGAAATACTGGACACTTGCTCTTCCTGCACCAGCACTCTGCTCCTCTCACCCCCAGTCACCCACCCAGAGCTCTCCATCCAGGCAGAAAACAGATCAGGCACTGGCTGAGCACTTCTCAGGGGGCAGAGGAAGGGACTGGGGCTCACATGCTGTGAAATCCTAACCCTGACTCAACCATAAGGTCCTGCATGGCCTCGGAACCCTTCTTGGCTTGCCAGTCTCCATCATGTCTGTGAGAAGAGCTAATCCTTATTACCAGGCAGCCGTAGCACTTGGATTAGTTACACACAGAGCACTGAGGCAATGAATAATGCACAGCACTGCTCTCAGTGCTGTCCTTGGAGGGAAATCACATAAAACACAAACACTCATGATGTGTACCTGTGCAGAGAGGCCTCTCTAGCTGTCTTCTGCTGAGGAAACAGACCATGCTGTCTGTTCTGCTCCAGGAAGTTCTCACTGAGCTTCTACAGTCCCACTACCTGCTGAAGGATCACCACCACCTTAATTACTGAACTTAATGAAATACCAGCCTCAGATTCTAAAGGGGCGAGAAAACCAATGTAGAAATGAGCACTGGAGCCAGAGATATATGCTTTACAAATCTCACAGTTTATTTTTCTCTCTGTGCAAATCAGAGCTACTTAGCAGTAATCATGTTTCACAGTGGAGGGGGAAGAAGTGATTAAAACACTGTTTAAGCTGCAGTTCAGTGGGATCCTTCTAGGTCCTGGATCCCAGGCAATCTCCATGTGCCGATGATCTGGAATAAAAAAGAACTGCACAGCAGTATTTCCAGGAGTTGTTACTTGTAATACAAGCTGCTTTGACAGCATCTCCAAGGGAAGTCTGCTTTCCTCCTCAAGGCATCACAGCATTCATGGCTGCATGCAGACTTCAAGAATTTACAGCCAGTGGCAATAAAAAAGTTTAAGGCACAGTTTCCACGTCAGAGCTAGCAGAGACAGATGAAGAAAGAGCAATCAATAAGCTCTTTTCACAGCCACTGAATCTCACATAAGGCAAAACAGTGGAAGGAAAAGCTGGTCCCTAGAGTAAGAGGGTGGGGTACCAGCTTGGCCACCAGCACCCGCAGCCTGCTGGCTGCTCCACCAGTGGTTACCACTGGAACAGAGGGAATGGGGCATGAAGCCAGGCAGCCCCAGCATTTGGAAAAATTATTGAAATCCTATATACGGCCAACAGGAGAGACCCTTGGAGATACTGGGCAAGAGTAGCCCATAACAGTTATCAGGATGTTCTCAGAGAAGATGATTGTGTGACATGCAGATTTCACTGTGCAATATTAAAGATAAGAAATGTGCCTCCTAAAGGACCTTTCCAGAGCTCATAGTCAGGCCATGCTGCTTGCACACTGCCCTCTCACTTTTCAAGCACAGAGGATTAAACCAAAAAACTGATTTGGGAAAGCCAACAGCAGCTCCCTCACCAGCAAGAGGGAGTCTGGATGGGACAGTGACATGAGGGAAGCAGGGGGAGTGTCTGTACCACAGCTGAGTAGTTTAGGCACCTAAGGTAGCAGTCAGAGGAGCCAAATTTGTCTGCTACATCAGCTTAACCCTGTTCTGCAAAGCTCTGCAGCAGCAGGTGGAGAGAGGCTGCAAGCCCCAGCACCCACAGGGACTGACTGAGGGATGGCTCAGACCTCACTCATTATTAGAAGCACTTTTACCAGGCCAGCCTATCCCCAGTTGTTTGCTCTGGCATCTCCTGGCCACAGTGCAGGGAGGGAAGAACCCTTCTTTGCAGCTAGGTAATAAGGCTATTTAGAGGCAGTGTGGCTGTTTCCCTGGAAAGAGCAGACAGTCACAGTGCAGTAGAGCTTCCTAGCAGTATCATAAAAACAATGGAAGGCTGTGACTGACCCATTTTCAATCAAAAGGAAAACTTTGCTTTGGTTTCCCATTTTAGTTTTCCCTTTGAGCCATCTCATAGCAACAGCTTTGCTCTGCTATTAGCAGGTCATCCTTGTAAGGAAAAGCAAGAGCCCATTAATGAGCCAAATTTATCGCTGGGGGAATTCTGCTGACCCACTTACACTAGCCACATATTTGATCCATTATGTTAACCTTCCTCTGCCTCCTAGTTAAAAGGAAAATACCTTTCAACTTTAATCAGGACAGCAGGGAATACAAACAAGAATTAGGAAAAAAAAAACAAACAAAAAAGCTATGCTGTTCTAGCATTCCACAAGACACAACTTGAAGCCATAATCCTGCATCTACAGGGGAGACACATCAGCAAGGAGTGCAGAGGTGAGCTGTAACCTGTGCGTGAGTACGAGCCCGGGAAGGATGCCAGAAGGACGGCCATTTACAGGGTGGCTCCAGGGATGTAAAGCCAGTCGGCAATGGCCGTGGGCAGGTGGGTCATGACCTGCAGCCTCACCCACCAGTAGGTCTCCATGGGATTGTAGCGGTTGTTGGGGCACGGGGAAGTGAGCGCGTCAGTGATGTCATTCACAACCAGAGACATGTCCTTCAGGCCACTGTTAACAAAGGACTTCATCATGGCCACGTGGCGAGTGAAATACTCCCCCCCATAGTCCTCCCGCACGGTGTCACTGGCCCCGGCCCACAGAGCCTCGGCCTGTTTGTCGATGCCCTCTGCCGTCAGGATGCCGGTCGCTGCCACGAAGTTACTGGGCTCCACAAGGATGACTCTGACACCCCAGCGGTACATCTCCTGCCTCAGGCAGTCGGAGAAGGCTGCCACCCCAAACTTGGACACGCAATAGCAGGAGCGAGATGGACTCACCATCCGTCCCAACATGCTCGTGATATTCACCACACGGCCTAGAGAGAAAAGAGCAGGGAGAGATGATGGGCTGCAGAGGCAGCAGCAAGAACATCCCAGTAAAAGGGTGCTTAGTTGGATGATGCTGATTTCTAAGATCAGAATCTTGAAGAGGCATACAAATCCCCTGTCAGGGAGCCTTTCTCTCCTGATTCAAGCAAGGCTAACCCCTGCTCTGACGTCCTCCATGGATGGTGTACATGCCTGCCACAGTATCAAAAAGAATTTACAAATCATACATTTCCCTCTGAATTTCCAAGTATGGAAGTACCCAGATCTTCTGAGCCTGCTAGCTGTGTGTTCTCACATCAGTGCGCCCCACTCCTTGTCGTGCTAGAGAAGGGTTCAAGGTTCCAGCTCGCAGTGTTATGAGCTGCAAAGCTCACAACTCTGTGTGATGCCATACAAGCATTCTGGTTCTTTCTGTAAGCATGACAGCTCAACTGCAGTCCCTCTGCCCAACTCAGCTACACGCTTCTAGACACGAGCTGGATGGCAGAGAATGAGTAGAGAGTTCTCTGAACCTGCAACATGAGCAGCACAACCTGTTCACCCAGCTAGTTGGCCACGAGGGCCTACAGTGTCCATGCCTGAGACAAACAAGGGCAGACTTGCTGTGCCGCTGTCCATGGGGCAGTGGAGACCAATTGTCCTAACTCCTGCCAGCAGCCCATGACAGCCCAACTCCAGAGCTCTGGCAGCTTGTGTTAGATCAGGCACCGTCTCGGGATGGTGCCAGCAGTGGTCACTCCTCTGTGGGTGTCTCTGCCCTTACCCAAGACATGCCGTGTGCAACTACGGTTTCAGATGCACTTACACACAAGCCCTTGAAATCACACCAGCTATCTTTACAGAGAGGATTTTCACATCCACAGAGCCCAGCATCCTTCTGCAGCTCGAAATTTTAGCTGAGAAACAAGAGAATAGCTCTGCTGTCTCATTCCAGACCTAAGTGTAACTTAAGAGAGACTGTGGGAACCACCTGCTGACCTGATGGGTAAGATCCCTTCTACAGTGAGATGGAGCTTGTTTAGTGGTTACTTGCTTTCTGGAAATGGTATCTAAGCAATCTTCTCAATATACCCCCCTTCTGTCCTCACAGAACACACACCTGTGCCAGCATTCCCACACATACTAAATAAAGAAGCTCTTCAGAGTTCTGCTCATACATACCTTTTTTAATATAAAACAAAGAGTTTTGATAATACCATTGTCTTGTAAGATATCTAAATTAGCTGCTATTGACTCATTTATTCCATCACTACCTGAAGTCATCTGTGAACTGAATAACATGAAGGGAGAAGATTCAGTTATCCAAACACAAGCACTCAGTGGACTCTGGATTATCTTGTCTGTGTGATATCTGGCAGCACTACACAAAGGTCTTTGACATCCTGGATGTTTAAGATAATACCTGCAGTGTAGGTGCCTGGACTGCCCCAAGAGTGCCCTGTACTACCAAATGCTTACACTGCATGCCTCAGAGAGCCTCCTTGGACTGCACAGGTATTCCTTCAACCCTGGATTTTTATCTACATCTCTTTGCTGTGCTACAATAGCTCTGAGCCTTGCCACACTACCCAGTATGTACCTTTAGCTCTTCGAATGAGGGGCAGGAAAGCCTTTGTCACCCTCACAGTGCCCCACAGGTTGACCTCTGCCACCTTCTTGTAGTTGTCTAAACTTGCAAATTCCACCTCTCCGAAGGTTGAGACGCCAGCATTGTTCACCAGGCCCCACAAACCTGCCAAAAAACACATGGTTGAAGAGTGGAACAAGGAAGAGTGTCACAGAAAAGTCACCTTCCTTGTTGTTCACAGTAACCTAAAATCTTGATAAAGAACTGGGGACTTCTAGAAAAAAAGGTTGTAGAGAAAAACCCAGCAAGGAGATGAAATACACTCTTGGTATACTAGGGGCTTGTTTGGAACATAAGGAGAGTGATGGGGCCACACAAGCTTTGCCTCCCTGAACGCCTCCTGTAAGGTCACATGCTGTTCTGGGGCTTCTCATGGCTGGATCTTTCTATGCCTCCTGTTGGCCCCAGGTTTGTCTTCGTTCAGTGATGTTATGCATTTTTGGAGGGGGCTCAATTTCCCCACAATTAAAAAAAAAAGGCAAGGAAAACAAATATCATGGCTTTCTAAATCCTGTTCACAACTCTGACTCACTCTTTTGGAGAGTGCATGGTAATGATCTGCAAGTTCATGGCCTAATTAACAGCTGTTGTGTTTTAGTCCAAGTATCTGTTTCCCTCAACTCTAACTAAGGGTTAGCAAACTTACAATGAACCCTTACAACTACTAGAATTTAAAAATGAACGTCTCTTGTGCATGCAAAGACTGTCAAAATTAAGTTGACTGCACTTACCAAAAGCTTCTGCACTGAGCCCCTTACACGTCAGGACTTATCAGGTCACCAAGGACTTGACCCTTCAAAGCAATTACTGCTGGAGTCCCAGTGGCAAACAACTGCATGACTGAATCCACACTTCATGGATTTATTGAAATATTGGACTATGCAGCCATAAACTGCATGAGGAGCAAACAGAAGAGCCAGAACAAGATAACAGAGCTGCTCTTTATTAGATGTCCTGCCATACACCATGGTTATTTTGCACTGTGTTGGAGTGAAGGCTGAACTGTTGGGGTGCATTGGACTCAGGGCCCCTTTCCACTCCCTGACCTTCCTCTTACCACCAAGAACAAGCACAGGGCTAAGGAAGATCCTTCATGTCCAGGGAACTCCGACACTGCTATCAAAAGCACCAATGTCATGCCACCCTCTTGATAAAAGTTATCAAGCTCTCTCTCAGAAGTTTTTTGGCTGTTTGCCCTGCCTCTACTTCACAGTTTCCCTGCCCTAATGTATGAAAGTATTTGAATAACTTCTAGCCTGTATTTATTCACGGTCAGATAGTAACCATGTATTGTACCAAACACAGTCCTCCAAGCAAATTGCAATACTCTACCATTGTGCAATGGAATGTATCCTCCTGGTGCATTTGAAAACACCAATGTGCCCTTGCTAGCCTGACACCCTGTTCTCACACGGGTCCCAGTAACCTTGTCCTGTTCCCAGCTGAGGTTGTTCTCCCTGGAGGCTGTTGACCAGCTGTATATAACAGTCTGTCACTGCTTCACTTACTGTAGCTGCCAGCTTCAGTGGGTCAAGATGACTCTGAAATTCATACTCATCTGCAGCCAGCACAGCATCTCAGCTTGAATGGGGACCCCTCTGCTGCTGCAAAGCAAACTCTAATTGCTAGCAGGAGGACCATGGAAACAGAGCACCTGATGGGGTAATTTCACCAGTAACAAGAAACTATGCAGAGCAAATTTGGCAGGGATTTACCAAAGACTTATCAACTGTTAGTCAGAAACTGACGTTTGCAGAGTATTCCTGACAAATTCCTGTAAATTTCTCTACAACAATTTCCATTTCCTGGGTTATGAGGTTAGTTTTCACGAATGTCCCTGAACCATTCTTTACAATACTTTGTTGTTGGAATTCCATTGCTCACCCATCAGGGCACGTTACATATAGAACAAAGTGCTGAGGGGTGCCCAGGCACGGGGCTGTTTGCTGGACAGTGGTGTGTTTATTGAGCAGAGCCTTATCACTATTACGTCTGTAGTGTCAACAATACAGTGGGAACTGCATAAGACTGAAAACAAACGGGCACTCCTATCAAAATTACTTCAGCCTTATGTACACAGCTCAGGGAGAAGAGGTACAAAAAACTGTACAGCACAAGAACTGTTCTGCAGTAGCTCCTTTGGGGCAACATTCAGTGTGCAACAACCACCTCTGTGCAAGGCACCTCAATAGTCTCTATATGCCAGCACCTATTTACTGAGCACTATTTTATTGGCAAGCCTCCAATCTCAGTCACACTGATGGGCCTAAAAAGAAGCCTTTGTTGCTTTGCACACCGTGCTGGAGCAAACAGCTACAGGATAAGGCTCTCAATAGCAGGAGGAACCGGTCCAACTTGCTTCTCTGTCCCTGCTACACACACAGTTTTGCAAACACTGCTGCATTAATGGAAGCAACAGAGCTGCTCCTTTCCAAGCTTTCACTCAGTGGGAAATGGCTCTGTGTCACCACTGCTGTTGCTGGGCTCCTCAGGAAAAGCCTGAGAAGCTGTGAAATATGTGATGAGGGCTGGGTGATTGTGTAGGAAGAAAAGCCATGCAGAGAGAACGTGTGTGGGATCAGAGCTTGTGCATTACTCAGTTACATTTCATATGCTTGTTTTAGGAGGAAAGGTGTGCTCACATTATTCATGTGAAGATTAGAGCTATTGTTATTTATTAGCTTTATACTTGCTGTGAACAAAGACAGGGCCATGGCAGTCTCCTCCAAGCTTCAAGAGGAACAACCACGTTCAAGTCACACAACCCTGAAGTCCTGGAGCCACAGACTCCAAACTTCAGTTCATTCTCAGCCTGTGTCTACAGCTGCTGTCCAGCCTGCTACTGGCACAGAGGCTGCAGAGAAACCTATGCAGGGCAAGAAGCCTCACAACCTCACTACATGGGAAAGGTTAGGTGGTGTCACATCAGGCTCTGACTCACATCCCTCTGCCAAACCACTCCCAAAGGAAAGAAGGTACTCCTAATCTTTAACATGCTTTCAGGATCCATGAGTTGGACTCATGCTTAAGGTGACACGTGGATTAAGGTCATCTATACCAAGCCCACCCTGGATCCCACTTCATATCACCTCTGGGATGTTGCATGGCAAACTGGAGACATGGACTGACCCAGCTGAAGATTAATGCAGGTTTTGCAGCAGGTCAGATTTGTGCTCCAGCAGCACTCAGTTGTACCTGCACAGCAGAGGGGACTGCACTAAGCAGCCAGGGCCTGTCACCTCTTCATTAGCAGGGTCACTAGCAAGGTCTGCACGAGCCAGGCTGTGGCAGGAGCACATCGAAGGGATCAAGCTCTGGCCGTTCCATGCCCTTCACAGACATTCAAGGACAAAGACACAGACACTTGCTGCCACTCCTTGCTTTTTATGGGATGCAGAGTTAAAGCCTAATCCTCCAGCCAGTCTTGGTCTCTTTCCATGTGGCTGCCACATCAACAGCAAGACAATTGTCCTCACTGACCTGGGGACAGCACTGCCTGACTGCCAGCCACACACTGTCACAGGTCTTCAGGCTTATTAACCCTCTTTTGGCAGTACAGAGAGAGAATGACCTGGTCAGTGCATGGCCTGCTCTGTAGAAAGGATTCTGTGAACAAGAGATCCCCACATACCTTTCTCTGGCTCCTTCAGGGTCATCTTCACAAAATCCACAGCCTGAGCCACCTCCTGATCACTGCACACATCCATCTGTAGCACTTTCATGCGTTCTGACTTCATGTTCTTCAGCTCCCTGGCTCCATCTCCATTCTCATCCTGCTCAGTAGAACAGAAAGGTGTCCCACTAAGGTGGACCAAGAACAGTAATGCAGTTTGGGGCCAGGCATGTTCACATGGTCAGGAAATAGAAGCTATTGACATTGCACACAGAGGTGTAAACCTGGTGCACAAATAAGCACAGGATCCACACAAACCCACATGTAAACCTGGTGCACAAATAAGCACAGGATCCACACAAACCCACGTGCCTTCTATCTGTTTCCTCCAGCACCACTTCTATAACTGCATTGATGACCCACTGCTGTGAGGGGCCATGAAGCCCCCCTGCTGCTGGCTCCTCACATGATGGGTTTCACACCTGTAAAATGGTGAAATACTGTGCCAGCCTGGGAGAACTGTGGGTGACTCCACTGCCTCAGTCTTCACACTCTACAGGTGACAGAGCAAACACTTATAAGGAGATTGGAGTCAGATACTCCAGGCTTAAAAGCAAACACCTAATTAGGCACTGTACTCACGTCATCTCAAAATACTGCCTGGGTTCTAATGGAATAGTATTGTCAGACCACTTTGAAAACAAGACAGCAGGCTCCCCCTCAGCATGGCCAACAGCAAACAGTCTGATGTACAGGATACAGCAGGAAACATTCACAGCTCAACCTATACAATATTGTGCTCTTACTGCACAGCAGCACAGATGCACAGGAATACATGCTCAGTGGAGATCTGCTACACAACAGCACGATTACAGACATGAGGCATGAAAGGAGATTCTGGCTAAGGAAGAAAGAACAGATTTTTTTTTTTCACACTATAGGCAATAAGAACATGATGGCTTTGCTTTCCTTTCTTTCCTCCCCACTCCACTGCTATCATTAGAGATTCTGTTACTGTTGTGGTGGTTTTTTGTTTATTCAAACATAAACACAGTTAAAATTCCAAACTTTACCTGCTCACTTCCAGGCAGGATTGCTGCCTAAGCCTTACAGCCTTGCTCAGGTGGTAAATAACAAATAAAAGTGAAAAGAGAACAGATTAGCCATTCAGTTTCAAAGCAGGCTTAAGATTCAATTCACAAAACTATTCCCTGTGTCACAGGCTCTGTCTCTTTAGGGAGGAAGAAGTTATGAATTGGTGAGTCACCGTGCCTGGCTGCCACTCTTCCTTTAGCACTCGTTATCAACTCCCACAGCACAAGGGCAAACAAGGCGAGCGACCCTCCCACAGTCACCTGCTCAGCTGCCTCTGCAGACAGGAAGATATAAAAAATATGTAACTGCTTAGCTTTTTATAAGTATCTCAGGCTATTTAATTAATACAGTATACAACATCTCATGTCCACCTTCAGTCCAGTGAACAATGACATGTAATGAAGGAAAAGAGACGAAATGTCCATCAAAGCTTTGAGCAAAACAGGGCAGCTCTCTTAATCAATATATAGTTACACTGGCATTATGACAATAGTAGGAATGAATTCCTGGCCCCATGGCTGCATGTTATTTCACAACTCACTTATTTCCCAGTATCACTAGAACAGCAAATACAGCTTGAAGCTTTTCTCGTGCACATCGAACGTGACGTGGTGTTGCGTTGGCTTCTTATCTGGCCAAAAAAACAGTCTCTGAAAGTGGCATTACAAGTAGCCAATAACATAGTCACCAAAACATTTTATTCCCTTTGAAACAGATGAGGGTTGTATGATGCATGACTGTATTTCTGGAAGATGCTCTTGCATCTCCACTGAGTTATACAAAGCAACTTTTGGCTACTTAACAGTGAAAAAAGTGGAGCTAATTCAGCTTGTACATAGAAAGCTTTATGGTATCTACATAAAAATGAAAATGTAAGTATATCTGTATTCAAGTGCTAGTTGTCATTTCAGCACTGACAACACCTTTCCCTACATATTTTTTAATCTTTCACAATACCTATAAACTAAACAAGAAATATCTCCATTGTTTTTTTAGAAACAGAGTCATAGGACAGCAACTTAAAAATCTAACATAAATGGTTTGTATTGTTCATATTGAGATGAATTTTCCCCTATCACCGATGCAACTCTATCTGCAAAGTTACTTTCCCAGCTACAATTTATTCATTGTTGACAAAACATATTGATTTTGGAAGACTGACTTCAGTATGCAATATCAATTGGAACCACTTTTCATAGTTGTAGATACCACTTCAGCCACTATTTAACTGTGAAACAAAGTGCTCAACTCCTTTGTCCAGAAAACCTCTTCACAAATGAAGCAGCCATGTATTTGTATGGAAGCAACTGAACACCATCATATGTTCTGTGGTCTTCAGAGGCTGTAAGCACATTTCCTGTTGAGACACCCACATGGTACATCCTCCTTGTTTTTTAATGGTAGATTTGCAGGCTGGGAAAACACCTGGAGAAGTTCCCATTGGACCAGCCAGGCTGTCCTCCCAGGGATGACCTTCCTGACCTTGGGATTCACCAGTAGGAGCCATGAATCAAGCGAGGTCTTGGTAGCAATGGCCCAACTGCTCCTGCAAAGCCCCTCTACCTTTGCTGTCACTTTGTCTGATTTTTGTCCTCTCAATCTCCCAGTTTCCCCTTCCCAGTTCCTTCAGAGTTGAAAGCCATCCTGCTCCAGCCCAGCCTGCTGCCTAAGTACTCTCCAGAGGCCTTCAGCTAGACTTTGCTGTTTCCTCCCAGCTTTCTCCTTTCCCCTGGTTATCCTGCCCTCACAGCCCTGCACGGCTCTGCCTGCCCACACCACCCTGTGCTCAGCAGGGGCTGCTCCAGGCCGGGAAACCCAACAGCCCCACAATCCCTCTCTACCCAGCTGAGGAATGTTGCTCCAGCTTTTGGCTGCTTCCCCTTCCCCTTGCTCGTTCCTCTGGCCCGATCTGGTTTGGAGGACCCCAACGCAGTGGTGCTGAGGAACAGGCCGATCACGCAGGGATTTGTCAGCAGAGAGCCCTCCTGTAACAGACACAGCCATGGCTTTTTCCCAGGGAAGCTCATGGGATTCAGGATTAAGTTCTGGCAAGCACTCAGGCACCTGCAGTAGATGTCAGGGGGAATCAGGAAGCCACAAACACAATGCTGAACACCCGTGGATCCAGCCAGTCTGCTCTATCTGCGCCAGTTCCTCCCCACCCTGCTGCTGCCCATCCACCCGCTCCCTTCCTGCATTTCCTGAGCGGAATACCTCCTGCTTGTCCTTACTGGATTTCACGTAATTGATTTGAGACTCCATCCAATCTGTCAGGATCATTTTGAACCCTATCCCCCAAAGGGCCTACAGTCTTCTCTGCCTGGTTCTGGGCATATTTTTTTCCAAGTGAAAATTCTCTTCCAGAGGGTACTTCCAAGAAAATGGTCCTGGGACTGAACTTAGAGCACAAGTCACTTAGAGCACATGTTTGCTCATGAGACTATCGTGAGGGACTGTAACAAAATGTGATTCAGGATACATTTATTCCTTCCTCTTTAACTACCTTGCTGCTTAGCCAGAATAGGATTAGACTGGCAGGGCACAGTCTGTTCCCAGTAAACTTACACAGTGTCCATCACACTGTGATCCTGTCATTTGTAAAACTGACAGAGCAGTGTGTGGCAATTGCATCTAGTGCACTGAAGGTGAGCTGCCTGGTTGGCAATTTCAGAGGTCTATCTCCTTTGGGAAGGGAAGTACAATATCTGCCCTCTTCCAGCCTTTTGGAAATCTCCTGGCCTCCAGGTGCTCTGGAAAGTATCACCCATGGGGCAGAAATCACAACGGCTCATCCTTTAAATGCCCATCAGTACATTTCATCAGGCCTGATGAACTTGAACACGTTCTATTTATGTAAACACTCCCTACTCTTTACCTTTTCTTGCCTGCATGTCCTCATGACAACTGCTGGCAGTAGGCATCTGAAAACAATTTATTCTTTTCTCAGTAGGATCAGAGAACAGAAGACGATTATTTCAACTTTTGCTGTACTTTCTACATTTCGGGTTACTTTATAATCTGTTTCTGTGTGCTTTTTCATCTTAATCCTAATATATTAACAGAAACTTTGTCTGTGGGCTTACCTGCGCTTGCTAAACGTAATCCCTTTTGCATTTGATCCTCTCCAGTTCTATCCCAGCCTGCTTGAAGTATTCTTGTTATTCTTGTAACTTTGTATTTGACTGTCTGATCAGTAAGGAGCCCCTGATGCACCTGACAGTCTATTACCTTGTATTTAATACAAGAGCTTTCTGTAATGGTTAGTACATTAGGGATCCTTTAAGTCTCTGTATAAAAGCATGTAAGTAAGTGATGATGGACTAACTAGGTGTGGACTAAGAGTATGGCACCAGCTTTATGACAACAGCCCCCACACCTGCTCTGACCCTGCAGGGAAGCTACAGCAGCTCACAGTCAATAAAGCAAGCAAGCAAGGCTCACTTCAGGAGCATTTAATTTCTTTATGTGGCTTCCAGCAAAGCCTTTCCCTCTCTGCTCCACACACTGCCTCCCGAACAGCCCCCTCAACCTGCCCTATCTCCTCTCTCCTTTCTGTTCCCTATATCTGCTGCTCTGCAAAGTGAGTGCCTGAATTGCTATCAGCACAGACAGGCATCCCAAAGCAGCGTATGACACGATTACTGAAGGAATTACACAAAACCTCCATATGGAAATTTCCAAACAGTGGCAATTTTCCAACAGGACTCTCTTGCTCTCAAGTTACACAATATGTCAGCTGATAATAACTTTCCCTTCTGGTGTGGGGGAAGAATGTAACCTCTGCCACGATCACACAAGGCAAAGAGGAGCACTTTTGTTCATTCTCACTCTCTACAGTACTCAAAAATCTGTGGTCATCACTCCCTGAGCACCTGTGCTGAAATGGCCATCTTCAAATGGAGAAATGAGTGGCTATGAACTGATCTTGAACAATTCAGGTCAGAAATTACATGAGTTTTGACTATCAAAATAGCAAAAAAACAAAGCAGGGGTAAAATCCCACCTGAGATGGAAGTGAAGCTGACCCAGTTTATAAAGAAGATTTCATAACACTAAGTTGTAAGTGTCATGCAAGAGTAGGGACTGTGGGATGACGGGTCTGCAACTCTTTTTGATTCAGTGTGTCTAAACCTATCTCTTACAAGTGATGCCTCCCATCAAACACAGAGACCTACAAACAAACACAGAGACCTACAAACAAACACAGAGACCTACAGATGTCAGAAAGGTAAATTTGTTTATTCAGCTATCCAGAAACCAAATAGCTTCTACAGAAGCTGCAGAAGCACAATTAGAAGACATTTTGGAAACAGCCTGAATAATGCAGGAGAGGCAGCTTAAAAATGAGTTTGAGGAGTGAGTCCACAAAAGTGACAGTGTGAAGGACAGCAACGAGGATGCCAGGGAAGTCAGAAAGCCATAGTCCCACAGCAGTCCTGGCCTGTCAGATTTATTGAGTGTGCTGTGGTATTGCTGAGAGGCTTCTAGCAGTGAACAGTGCCCTACTGTGCAAGCAACTGTACAGACATGCAGTTGACAGACAAACCCTGCCGTAAAGAGCTCAGAATTATGGGAATGACAAGATGCAACAGGTACATGAAACAGTGGAACATGTAACGATCCGTGCCCACTGCACCTCTCTCAGGTCTTGGATTGGGGTAAAAGGAGACTGCTGATGAAAATGCTTTGACTTGAGAAGCACTTTTCTCTAATCAGAGAAGAATTTTGATCAATATCACTACTCACCATGAGCAAGCATCCAGCGAAAACAGTAAATCCCTTTGCATGAAGGTGTTTTGCCAAGGCATGTCCAAAACCTTTGTCACAGCCTGTTATTAGCACCGCCTTCCCTTCAGCCTGTGTGGGAAAGACAGTCATACAATATCATGAGACACTGCAATGCAGGCACCACTAGCACCCTGCCCCACACCGTAGGAGCCCCCTGCAGTCAGGGCCAGACACCATCTAGGAGGTACAATTCCAGATGCAAGTCACAGTGGCACCTGTCTGCACACGAACCTGACTGCAGCCCAATCCCAGTAATTTCAGTGGGTCAACCAGCGTAAATGAGGTGACAAGATTGTAGTGTAGAAACACAGCCAGTTCCCAGCTACTGTGAAATCCTAAATTTATTCAGTTGCTGGCCTGTAACAATTTGTGTTCCCTTGATACCTGAGCTAGAACAGGAACTCTTTCTTTCAAGTGTCAGTGGCCAAAGGAGAACAAAAACTTTTAAAAAGAAGTTAATGATCTACCAGCTCATAGACATTATAAGAAAAAGCAGCACAGAAAACATCCAAATGGCAGGATGTCACTGGCTTGAACAGTACAGCAGCTCTTTTAGCTGCCAGTGACGACTGTCTGTTCCCCACCTACTCCCACTCTATGCGGCACTTTCCTTGCTGTATTTTAGCACGAAGGAATGTGACTGCAGGTTAGATTTTCCTTCTGAAACTCGTCAGTCTTAAGAGGAACAACTTCTCAAATCCTACAGTTCTCTCCTACATCATTATTATCTTTTTGACTGACAGATAAATTGAGAGAGAAGATTTGATGTTCCATCTGGTATGACACAACAGGCTTGAGAAATCCCAAATCCAGAATCCCAAATCCTGAAGAGAAGCCCATTCACCCTCTGTCTTTGCTTGAAAGTCATCTTCTCACCACAGCTGTGAAGCAACGAACTCCTAACGCTTAACCCAACTGGCAGGCTGCCAGCTGCTGTGCTGCACAACGCTCCAAGCTGGAACCATATCAATGAGGCAATAATGTGATATAGCAATAAAAGTCTAGAGGATGCAATAAGGAAGTGAGGTCAGTTCCATCTCTATGGAGATATCTGCAACTAATATTCCCTGTTACTGTATTCACAACGGCTGGAATATGAACATACTTTGCATTAAGTGCACTGGCTTGTCCAGCCTCTTTTTCAGACAGAAATGGCTCAATCACCATTGCTCTCATCTCTTGCTTTGCTGGCACTCAGTGCAGTGAAGCAGCAATAAGGGATAATTGGAGGGTGATAGTGATCAGAGCATTACTGCGCAAACTCAGGTGAGCCTAAGCAGAGAGCAATAAGCAAATGAGCTACACCCAGTCCTATAACTCATGTTAAAGTTATTGCTCTCAAAGGGGAGTCATGAGCTGAAGTTGAAACAAGAACTGATCAAAAGTCTATCCTGCATGTATCATACAAACACCCACATTGACACCAACTCCTGTTTCAGACAAAGAGTACCCAGCTACGGACTAGCTCTACTAAAGCTCTGAAGGTAACTATAGCTAAAGGACAAAAGATAAGTGAGAATTAAACATACAGTGCTCAGTCTTAATTTAATTGACAGTGACACAGCTCCAAGAGAGATGAGAATCAAGCATGAACCAGACCACAGAATTTGTCAGTCACCTCCAGCAATAACTCAACAAGCTGGCCCATGGAAAAAGAAAGGATTTGACTGTTTTCTTCCCCTGCCTCACCTCCCTAGCCCCTTTGCCTCTGAATCCTGCATACAGAGAACTTCACAAAAAAGCAAGAACTGTGAAGGAAATAAAGAAGTACAATCACTTCCAGAACCCAGGACAAGCAAACAAAGAAGATACCCAATCTTTGACCATCATTAGTTCCTTCGCAGCTGGTGTGATCAGGACAGCTCAGCTGCAGGAGATAAAAGCAGATGGCTGGGGTGTGCTCCCCTGTGCATCTAGTTTTAGCTCTCAGCAGCTGGTTTGCTTTCCCTAGTTAAAAAAAAAAAAATCCCCAAACAAACCACCAAAATGTAGACAGAAAGGAGGAGATTTAAAAATCCTCTCGGCTGCCTATAAGAGCAAGAAAAGCGAGGAACAACTTACAGTATGAGAAGGTTCCTGTGATTATTTGTTAATTATTTGCCATGATCCTAATTGCTGGTAATAAAACACGACTACAGCAGCATGGCTCCTAACAGCCTGAGGTCTCAGCAGCACCCACAAGCATGCAAAAACCCAGGGGATGTACTGGATCTCACATCTGTACCTGCACCTGTTTGTGCCGTGCCTGATGGACAAAGAGGTCCAAGGGATGAGAGCTAGGATCAACCCCATTACCAGCAAAAAAGACCCTATCCCAGAAAAACTTCCAACCACAGACAAGCTCAGTTATCCTTATCTTTTGAAAGGATGAGGTCCCAAGATAAGGCCTAATGGGTCTGTTCCTGGAGTTTGATAAGGTCAGTCTGCAGCTTACAGTCTGGCTCAGTGCTGGGACAGGCAGAGAGGACCAGCTATCAGCACAGTGACCTTAATGAGCTTTCTGAGGAACTTTAGCTGCCTCCTTCACTCACGTTCATGCAGAGCTCAGGAAACACTGTACAGGGGACAGCTCTCACACACAGTGCTGACAGGGCACCTGGGACCTGCTACAAGCACAGAATAACTTGTGGTACCAGAGGTGCTGCTATGGCACGTGGGCAGAGTAACACTGCCTGTGTCCTCACTGTGTGATCCATGACACTGTAATATACAATCCTCACAGTTCGAACAGCCCCAGCAGGGCAGCCTGATTTTAACCTGCAGCCAGCTCAGATGCACACACCTCACCAGCTTTTTCTACTGGGAAAGACTGCTTTATTACGTTGTAGAATTAATTTTACTAATGCAGATGATCTATCAAAATTATACGTTTATTGCAGAACAGGCTGGAGAAACTGATTTTACTTTTTCAGCCTGTCTCCGTAGACAATGTGGGAACCCACCATGCTTGCCTAGACTTTATCTTCTGTTGTACCACTTGTTTTTTTGATTCGGTTCCCTTTTATGCTCTACCCTGACATTATCAAACAAATTGATTTGAAAGATGGGTGCAGCTACACAGCAAACTTGGCTTTTTTCCTTTTTCCAGGGTTGGAAAGTTGAGGTTTTCAATTCCAGGAAAAAGAACTGAAAACATTCACGTAAAGTGAAGGTATTTTTCCAGGTGGGACAGGGATGCGGAAGGTCAGAGGAGCAGAGTGGACGGAAGAATGAAGTGGGACACTGCAAGCAGGCTACAGCTGTTATCTGTTATTTCAGGGGGGTAGGACTGAGCTGGAGGCCCTGAAGCAAAAACATTGACCCAGAAAGCCAATTTTATCCTTGGGCACATCAAAAGCAGCGTGGCCAGTAGGTCAAGGGAGATGATTCTGCCCCTCTACTCCACTCTGGTGTGACCCCACCTGCAGTGCTGCATCCAGATCTGTGGTCCTCAGCACAGGAAGGACATGGACCTGTTGGAGCAAGTCCAGAGGAGGCCACCAAATTGATCAGAGGGATGGAGCACCTCTCCTATAAGGGAAGGCTGAGAGAATTGGGACTGTTCAGCCTGGAAAAGAGAAGGCTTTGGGGTGACTTAATTGCGGCCTTCCAGTACCTGAAGGGAATTTAAAGGAAAGATGGGCCAAGACTGTTTACAAGAGCATATAGTAACAGGACAAGGGAGAAGGGGCTCAAATTGAAGTAAGAGTAGGTTCAGATCAGACATTAGGAAAAAAATTTTACTTGAGAGAGGTGAGGCACTAGCACAGGTTGTCCAGAGAAGCTGTGGGTGCCCCATCCCTGGAAGTGTTCAAGGCCAGGTTGGACGGGGCTTGGAGTAACCTGGTCTAGTGAAGGGTGTCCCTGCCCACGGTAGGGGGGTGGAACTGGATGATCTTTACGGTCCCTTCCAACCCAACTCTATGATTCTATCAACACACTCCCCTCCAAGTGAGGCACACCGGGGTGCGCAGCGGAGCAGCCGCCCGGCCGAGCCCCGCGGCGGGTCTGCACTGCCCCGGGCCGTGCCCAGCTCGGGGCTTCGGCCCCCTCGCTCTGTGTGCCCGGCTCCACCAGCCTGGCCCCGCCGCTCCGGCTGCGACACCATCCCCGGCCCGGCTACACGGCCCGGCGCCATTTTGGGCCCGGGGGCTCTCGGGCGGGCTGTGCCCGGCGGGCCCCGGCCCCTCTCCGCGGTACTCACGGGCAGGGCGCGGCGGGCCCGCCGCGGCAGGAGGAGGCGGAGGACCAGCAGCCCGGCAGCGCCCAGCGCCAGCAGCAGTCCCGCCGAGCTCCCCATGGCCGCAGCCTATCGCCGCCGCCGGCCCGGCCCTGCCCCCGGCCCGCCCCCCGCCGCGCCCGGCACCGCGGCCCCGGCCCAGCCTCATTCAAACGGCAGCAGCGTCCGGCACCCGCCGGTCCAGGTAACGCGCGGGCGGGGGATGGGTCGCGGTACCCTGGTGGAGCCCTGACAGCCGGTCCGCACGGCGACCTTGCCCGCGGCGGACAGGGGGCTCCAGCATCTCCCCAGCGCGGCCCCCGCCCGCAGCGCCCCACGCGGGCCGGGCCGCGCCCCCTCGGTCCCTCGGCCGCCTTCGGGGCCGCGGCAGCCGCGCCCCGGAGAGGGGCTGGGCCGGGCTGGGGGGCCCGCGGGGACCCCGCGCCTCGCCCGCTCCCTGCAAACCTCCTCGCAAAAAGCCGCGGGGCACCAGCCGAGCTCCAGAATTTGATCGAACCACCGGGATTTCTGAGGATTAACCGAGCCAGCGTGTCCTCCTGAGCCCGCACCGCTCCCTCCCTGTGCAGCTCGGTGCCCACCGCTGCTGTTTTTGCGGTAATCCCGCTGTTTATCAGCCCGGGCCTGGCTCCCAGCAGGCCCCGGAGCTGCCGCGGCGGCGGCCCAGCCTTCGGCAGAGATGCAAACAAGCCCTAACAATTAGATCCCGTTTCTCAGCTTCAATAAAGGAGGCTGTGCGTTAAGCTGGGGAAATGTTTTTGTTTTGGTTTGGGTTTTTTTTTGTGCCCTGGATCAGTGTCATCCAAGACAAATGTGATTGAAATTGACTTTCCATAACTAAGTCTTGTTCTTTCGCTGTTTTCACCCTGTAATGAGTTTAATGGTGGTTCCCTGTGCTTAGTCCAGTGTCACCAGCTACTTAATTGCAAAGAAACATATTTTTAACTGTAAAGCCCAAGGATTCCTTTGGAAATATGTAACATGACATCACCTGTGACTTGAAGCTATATTTTAGTTTAAAATTAGTTCATATAGCTCACTTGAATAATACATTCCATGTAAGTACCTTAATTTTTACGTATTTCAGAGAATACAGTTAAAGATGCATTAAAGGAGAAATTCACATTTTGTTTAGATGCCTCCCTGCTTGCTACTTTACTTATAATGCTTTTCCTTATTTAAAAGCATCTTGAAGTGGTTCAAGGTTGAGCTGTTTATCTCAGCATGAGGAACTGCAAGGGGAAAAGATGAGTTCCTTTGGACTTTATTTTCTTGTTGAAGTACATGGAGTCAGCATGTCTTACAAAATAATTGAGCAACTAAAACAGAGGTGCTATCTTCTGTTGCAGAGCTAAGGAAGAACAGTCTTGCTGTTGGTAGAGTGCATTAATTGAAAGGATGTTGGCTACCAAGCTGTCCCGGCCTCTCCTAAACTTTTCTGGGAAAGCCCTTAATTTCAAGGACCCAGGGAGTGGCTTTAGGTAAGTAACTTGGTGGACAAGCATCCATGAGATCTTGAGTAAAGCACACACTAAAGACTCATTTGTTTTCAGTGGGGCAGTTTATTTTCAGAGCCACAAGGTAATTGAGGTTGGAAAGGAACTCTGAAGGTCACGTGGTCCAACCCCCCTGCTCAAGCAGGGCCTCTTAGAGCTGGTTGCCCAGAATTGTGTCCAGTTGGCTTTTGAGTATCTGCAGGAGTGGATATTCCACAACCTGCCCAGGCAACCTGTGCCAGTGCTCAGTCACCGATCTGAGCACAGAGGAGATGGACTCGATATGCAAGGAGGGTTTGACAACATGTGTTTTTTTTCCCACACTGCAGTGAAAAAGGTGTGAAGTAGAGTATTAATTAAGTATCCAGCAAGGATTTATTCTTGAATATCAGCAAGTAGGCCTTGCTGCAGTGCAAGAAACTGCCATATGTTTCTGTGACTTCATTAAAGAGGCAGTGAATCACATTAAATGAGAAAGTTAAGAGGGGAGGTTTTAGTGAGAAATTGAGGTGGGCTGAGTAATGAAGCTGTTTTTTTCTGAATATGCAGAAAATTGGCTATCTAATTGTAATTTCTGGTTCTGAAAGAAAACCCCAGTGTTTAAATTGCTATATGATTGGAACCCTACTAGTCCAAATCCAGGGGAAGTTCAGTGCTTTCCCTGGCTTTGTTTTAGAGCGGAATTCCCAAACAGTGGTGTGTGTACCACTAATTGTACATAAGCCATTTAAAAGTGGCTTATGGCCTGCTAAACAGGAACTGCCACCTCCAGTGTTGTTCTACTGCTATTGATAGGGTTGTCCAGCACCATCAGGGTCAAGGGTGGCTCTGGTAACAGGGTGTTGTAAATAGCTAAGCTGTTAGAGATTTCCTATGCAAACAGACTTTTATCTCCTATTTGCTCCACACACGCCAAAGCTCACCAGCAAGAATCTGCTGTGGCCTTTAAAATACGAATTAATGTTTTATTAACTTGAGAAAAGAATTTTCAGCATATTTTTTTTTCTTCCTTCTGTTTTGCGTATTGTGTATTTGTGCTTTGTGCGTCTTGTACTCAGGGCAAAAATGTGTTGCATTTGCAAGTCCCCACAAGCTGCTAAACCTGAAATGAAAATCCAGCTGTTCATCTGAAAGGCAGTGCTGTCACTAAACCAGTGTCTTAATGCATTGAGGCAGGATTTATATACCTGACTCTTCAAGCTCCCTTTTTTTGGTGGAACTGAACAAAAGCCAGTGCATGGTTACAAGCACAGATTCAATCTGAGGACCACCTGTGTATTCTGAAAGTCTCAGTTGTGATCTCTAGAACTCAGTTATGCAGAGTGACAAAAATGGCTCCTGGTACGTTCCTGTACAGTGTGGGGGCTCACATGCTTCGTGGCTGTTTCTGCTGATGACGTTCCTGCTGATGACGTTCCTGTTGATCAGCAGCCAACATCCACTTTTTACCCTTGCCTTCAGGTTCAAGGTAGGCAGAATGTCAATAAATGTAGTAGTCATTCTCTACAGATTATTGTGAATTGAGTGCAGAAAATCAGTGCTCTGCAGTGAAATAACAAGACCAGACCTGACTCTGAAAAATAATAAACAAGTTCACACAACTAAAAGAAATGTTATGAACATTCCTGGGCACTTTAGGACACACTAAGAAGCTTATTGTTGAGGTAAAAGTTCCAGTCCAGGATTGCAGGTCAGTGATGTTAGCACATACTTTGCCTGGGGACTGACATTTGCAGCAATTAAATTGGCTGTAACTATTTCAAGATTTGGCTTGTGACACTAAGTTAGAAAACGGGCTAAACTGTTCCAGGAGGGAACAGGAGTGGACATCATTGCCTGAATGTAAACCAGCTCCTTTTCCATCTGGTTCAAGGCTGCTGCCATCACAGATCCTTTTTCTAGCCTTGTTTTCCCAAGATGTGGCTCAGAAGCCAGTGTGTCTGCAAGCTGCTGTGCAGCGTAGCACAGGTCACCCTGGGAGCACCTGTGATGTCTGAGCTGGAGATAATTGTGAATGATTATGCAAATTCACTTAGAAGACAGAAAAGCAGCCTGCAGGATAAGCTCTGCTGAAGGATAGATGCTGTTAGAGGAGCTGGGGGTAGATGAAGTACAGCAAGTTTAAGGGAAGGCCAGAAGGCTCCAGGAGGGCAACGTCAGTGCCTGAAGCAGAAATGAAACAGCTGATAAAGTCCAGAGAGGTGGCTGGCAAAGACAGAGCTTGGAGTCACTCTGGTGTGTTGTCCAAGCCCAGTTTTGATGAATGATGGCAAGACCTAAGACAGAGTGATGCTACTGGTAACATAGCTTTTCTAAATAGAATCTCACTCCTTGGAAGGCATTGTTGCTTTGCTCTGGTCTGTCTTTGTGAACACGTTTTA